TGATCTGCCATTTCATGATGGTTTTCCACAGGATATTGGCATAGTCCTCATACATCCTCAGGCTCTTATCCCAGTACTTTAGTACAGGGTATTTAGCCAAAAAATGACAAAGAGTGAATTCTTTTTTTATAATATTTCCCAATGCATATACATGTTTTTATATTGTGTAGAAAGTTTGAGCTTATTCCAATCAAATTTGGATTTTTTTAGATATTTTTAAAGTTGCTCAAAAATTGGGCTAAATTAAGTGTCCTTTTATTTTTAGGTGGTCCTCTTAGTATCAGTGGAGAGGTAGCTCGTGCCATCAATCTCAGTGGACTGAGGGAAGTGTGTATTAGGAGAGTGGATAAAGATGAAAAGACACTTGATTTGGTTGTATTCATATTTAAAGTGAGTTATGAGTATGAACTCTAGCAGTGCATGTACAAGCATGTGTGATACAATGATACCGTAATGATACAATGAGTTAATATTTGAAAAATTATAAATGAGAATATATTGTATACAGTATCTTTATAAATTATAGCTATTATTATACTTAATGTAATCAATGCATTCTTAAAATTTGGTATACTGAAACCTAAATGAATTAATAAGTTTTAATATTCTACGGTTGATAACAAACAGTGTACAGTATACATGTACATGTATAGTATCAGCATGGAGTACATGTACATTTATGTTTATTGCGTTTACATGTAAATGTTGCTACATGTACAGTGTGCAAGTGTAATATTTATTGGCTCAATTGTATGTACATGTATGACTATAATATACATGTGGAGGTTTACCAATTCACTGGTATGTACTGTACATGTATTCTCTTAACTCTTATTGACTCACAGATTGATAAAGGAGTGTACATATCAAGGAAGCTATTGTTTGCTGGTATGCTGTTGAGAGTCAGTGGATTGTGGACTAAAGGGGAAACTGTCAAGAGTGGAGTGCATGGTGACTGGGGGTGAGAGGTTCAATAATAATTATGATTGTTTTTGTGTGTATGTATGTACATTACACACACTGTTACTTTTGTAGACCTGTTTGATGCATGACATTATTATTTTGCATGTACATGTACATATACAATTACAATTTTACATGTCTATAGATTGTATTTAGATCAGCCTCATTGCAATTCTTCCTATTCATGCAAGTCAGTTCAAAGATATGGGAGTTTGATCCCAATGGTCAGTTACTGTATCCTCATTGTGCTAGTACATATTACTAGTGTTTAGGTGATACTTACTTTGATGAAGCATTTGATGGTTCGTGAAGGATCTCTTCTCCGTTTGGAAGGTACAGTACATGCAGTGTGTGTATTGATGGACACATTCATTGCACATGAACATTCTCCTATTATGTTGTACATGTTCTTATCACTGTATTTCATGAGTTTTGCTTTAAGCATAAAAACAAAATTCACATTCTTTCTAAAAATAAATGTATAATTCTTTCTCTTTGTCTCAGTCTCTCTCTCCCTCTTTTAGGTGTGATTCCATTAATAAACTCCCTAAAAGGTGTGAGACCATTGATTGAGAGATACAGGACTCACAACAGTTCAAGAATTTCTACCAGTTTACGTTTAATGTTGCCAAAAACTCGGGCAGAAAGGACTAGGCTAGTGACATAATATTATACATGTACATGTACATGTAGCATCATGTTTGCTAAACTTGCAACACAATGATTTCAATGTACACGTGTTGATAGGGGAATTTTGCAAGTGATGCTACTAAAATTTGAGAATACATGTACATGTATAATTGAGCAATTATGATGAAGATGGTAGGTCTATACTGTATAAATTGTAATGTCCTCCTCTTTAAAAAATTTGTATTTTGTACAGCACTTTAATGTATGGCAGCTTTATTTCTTTGTAAATTTTTTGATGATTTTATGAATATACATGTACAGCACTTTACTATGAACATGTACATGTACATTAATGATTGTATGGTTGGTTTATTATTTATAGGTCAGTCTATACTCTAACTATGTACATGTACAAATTCCTCAGTTCTTCTTTGTGTCTGATCCAGCACTACTGGAGATACTAGGAAATATATTGGGTATCTGAAAAATACCCAATGCTATAGCCCATGGTTTGTTCCAAAAATGGCTCCAAAATCACCCCAAATTTTTATTACATTATCTGATACATATTAATGTCTGTATGCTGTCTAGAAAATTTGAGGTGATTCCGACTTCAATTTTTCAAATTACAGCCATTTTAAGAAAACACCAAAATTCTGAAAAATACCCAAATCTATAGCCCATGGTTTTTTCCAAAAAATGGCTCTGAAATCAGCCCAGATTTTTATAACATTATCTGATACATACATGTATTAATGTTTTTATGCTGTGTAGAAAGTTTGAGGTGATTCTGACTTCAATTTTTCAAGTTATGACCATTTTAAGAAAATGCCGAAATTCTGAAAAATACCCAAGGCATGGTTTTTCCCAAAAAATGGCCAAAAATCACCCCAAATTTTTATTACATTTACTGATACATATTGATGTCCTTATGCTGTGTAGAAAGTTTGAGGTGATTCCCACTTCAATTTTTCAAGTTATGGCCATTTCAAGAAAATACCAAAATTCTAAAAAATACCCTAGGCTATAGTCCATGGTTTTTTTCAAAAAATGGCCAAAAATTACCCCAAATTTTTATTATATGTGACCATAATTGACAAAAGGTACCTTATGGCGGATTTTAAAATTCATCATTATAATGAAATATATCATCCTGTGAGCGCTCTGTTGGACCACCATTGTTTCTAAAAGTTACATACATGTAGTAACTTTTTGCATCCTATGGAGTAATTTTATGATAAATGAAGCTCTGGAAAATGGATTTTTGTGGCTATAAAGACAAATTTCACTACCTGCCATAAGGTACCTTTTGTCAATTATGGTCACATATTTTCTAATACATATTGCTGTCCTTATGCTGTGTAGAAAGTTTGAGGTGATTCCGACGGAATCCGACTTTAATTTTTCAAGTTACAGCCATTTCAAAAAATTCCAAAAAATATCCAAAGCTATGCACGTAGCTGTCTTGGCTGTCTTGACTCCACTCCTCTGCCGTTATCAGCCATACAGCACTCTTTACTATGTATCTCATCAATATTGAAAG